TATGTGATTGGTTGCTTCCACATCTGCTACCTTCTTCTTCATAAAGTTGTGCTTGTTGAACAGCTCGTATATTGCTTTATTTAATATTCCAAGTTAGTTTCATCATCAATATGTCTAGATTCAGGATGTGCAGATGAATCAGGATGAGTTTGGCTTGATATCCGTACTGGACTGACTGGAGTTGGTGGAGCTGAGTCATGTTTGAGTGGACTTGACAACCGCACTGGAGAAGCAGGTGGGTGGACTTAACTCGGCTGTTGTGGTGAAAGCTACCCTACTAGGGCTTGCCACCCGTATTGGACTGGCTGGTGGAGAAAGACGAAGCAATAAAGCCTTCTCATCATCAGTTATTCCTTGCAATTCTTTAATTATCTGCAAAAAATATAACATTACATCCAATTTAACCATTAACAAATATAATTTTACGAGACAATTGAATTAAAATATGTAGTGAAGATACCTCAACATCTTGAAGGTCATCAAACATGTTATTTACTTCTTTCTCAGTGTAAATAAAGTTACCATCCCAGCGAGTAAAACGAGGCCAGGATAGATCATCATGTACAGCATGAATTATTATATGTTCAAGAAACCAAATCTGTAGAAATAAAGGCAATTTAATTTTGTTATAGATTTTGTACACTAATCAAACATTTATTGAACAAACAAACAATACTCACAATTAAAATCATTACAAAACCATTTACATAACCCAAAGCAAATCCCTTGGCTTGTTTTGTAGCAACAACGTGTTATGCCGGTCCAGCTTGGACCGGCTCAACCTGGACCGGCCCAGCCGGTCCAGTGCTACTCGCGACGGACGCAGAGGAGCCGCGCGGAAGAGAGAGGGAGCCAGGGAGTGGGGTCCACTTGCAATTCAAACATGGGTTAAGTGTTTTTGGAGGGAGAAGGAAGGGTAGAGTAGTCCTTTTGCTTTTAATTTGAATTAGATTGTTTTAATAGGGAGTTATGAGGGGATTAGGATTTCATCTTGATTTTAAATGAGTTTTGTCTTCTAGGTTTTCTTGCTTGGGCTCTTGGCGTTGCCGGAGATTGTTGGAGAGTTGTTCTTCCTCTCGAATTGAAGAACATTGTATCTTGCTTTGGTTTTGTTTGTCTACTAGTGGAATACAATTGTTACTATTGTTTTCCCAACGTTTTCTCCCTATTTTCTCAGTTTTTCCATTGTTTGGTGGTTGTTTTCTATTGAAAACAGCGGAATAATTGTGTTTTGGCGAAGATCCGATATGAATCACTTGGAATATTCAAGTGGTCTCTATCAATTTCCTTTATCTTTGGTTTAGCCCTAGGAATCGCTAATGAAGCTATCGATAGCAAATAAAAGAATTAATTTGCTCCATCTTACTTTCCAATGCCTCATAGATCCCAAAAAAGTTTTTGGATACCAATTTGATACACCTTAGAAATAAAAACAATAAATAAAAGAGAAGAACAGTATAAGAACACAAAGATATAACTGATTTTCTTATTTTTCCTTCAATAATAAAGCAAGATACAATTGATCTACTATTCGAGAGGTAGATCAGCTTTCCCACAAGCTGTAGACACCACTAGGAACTCACAACAAACACTAAGAAAATAAACTCAGCAATATTCTCCCTAAACCATAGACAAACTCCCTCCTGAAGTAGACCTAGAACACCAAAACATAATTAGAACCTTCATAATCAACATAAACATAATTTCAGAAACCTTACTAAATAATTAAATATGATTTAGGAAACTTTCCTAAACAATTAAATATGATTTAGAAAATCTTTCTAAACAATTAAGCATATTTTATGAGATCTTCCTAAATAACATAAACACAACTAGGAAACTTTCATAAATAACTCCCCCACCCCCCATTAGTAACATTCCTAATAATTTTCCTTAATTAGAAAATTTGACCAAGGGAATCCTAATCAAATTTTGATTAGGGTTAGCAATTGGAACCGTTGGTAGGGTTTTAAATCGCATCTCCACGAGCTTTCTCATATCTCCTCCAAAATTTCCTTTCCCTTTGGTTTAACCCTAGGAATCACCAATGAAGCTTTCGATAGAAATAAAAGATTTAATTTGCTCCATCTTACTTTCAAATGCCTCATAGATCCCAAAAAAGTATTCGGATACCAATTTGATACATCTTGGAAGTAAAAACAACAAATAAAAGAGAAGAACAGCATAAGAACACAAATATATGGCTGATTTTCTTATTTTTCCTTCAATAATAAAGCAAAATACAATTGATTTACTATTCGAGAGGTAGATCAGCTTTCCCACAAACCGTAGACGCCACTAGGAACTCACAACAAACACTAAGAAAATAAACTCAACAATATTCTCACAAAACCATAGACAAACTCCCCTCTGAAATAGCCCTAGAACTCCATAACATAATTAGAACCTTTCTAATCAGCATAAACTTAGAAAACTTTTTTAAAAAATAGAACCTTTATAATCAACATAAACATAATTTAGGAGACCTTCCTAAATATTTAAATATGATTTAAAAAACCTTCATAAACAATTAAATATGATTTAGAAAATCATCCTAAACAATTAAGCATGTTTTATGAAACATTCCTAAATAGCATAAACAAAATTAGGAAACTTTCCTAAATAACTCCCCCGTCCCCTAATTAGGAACGTTCCTACTAAGTTCCCTTAATTAGGAACGTTCCTACTAATTACCCTTAATTAGGAACTTTCCTAGACAGCTTCCTCTTGATTATGAATATTCCTAAACAGGTACTTGGAATATCAAAGGGAAAAGCTACTAATAGTAAAAGTATTTGATAGTGCAATCAAAATGTGCAAGAAAAAATAAAAAAAAATAAGAAGATTTGCTATAAAAATTGATTTAGCAATAAAAACTCTGATAATTGGGAAAGATATAAAAGGCTCGTAAGGAGTCTAAGAAAGCAATTTGCAATGCAAAAATTTTAACTTTTAATAATTTATATAATATATTAGATATTAAGGATAGTGAATGACATATGTATAAGTCAGCTAAACCAAGAGATAGAAGTAATAAAGATTTAGTTCAAGTAAAGTGTATTAAGGATGAAGATCAAAAAGTGCTTTTATTAGAAAAGGATATTCAACAAAGGTATATGAAATATTTTGCTAAACTTTTTAATAAAGAATATGAGAAAACAATTTACTTTAGTGACATTAGTGCCATAAATGAAAATAAAGATTTTTATTTTTATCAACATATTAGTAAAACCGAAGTTAAAGAGGCTTTAAAGAAAATGAATTGCGGAAAAGCTGTTGAATCTGATGACATTCCAACAGATGTGTGAAAATGCTTAAGAAACGAAGGAATTTCTTGGCTTACTAAACTTCTTAATAGTATTTCAAAACTAAAAAGATGCCAGATGAGTGGAGAATGAGTGTTGATTCATACTTTTAAAAATAAAGATGATGCACAAGATTGTGCGAATTATAGAGGAATTAAGTTAATGCGTCATACTTGAAAACTATGGGAGAGAGTTATGGAGCATAGGTTGCAGTGTAACACTAATGTTTCTCAAAATCAATTTGGATTCATGCTAGGTAGGTCTACTACAGAAGCTATAAATTTATTGAGAGGTTTGACAGAGAAGTATAGAGAGAATAAGGAGGATCTACATATGATTTTTATTAATTTAGAGAAAACATATGATAAAGTTCCAAGAGAAGTGATATGGAGAGTTCTACATAAGAAAGGGGTTAATAATGCTTATATTCAACTCATTAAGGATATGTAAGCAAGAGCTATTATTTGTGTTCAAACACAAGGTGGTTTGACCAAATTTTTTCCTATTTCAGTTGGATTCAAGAATCAGTCTTAAGCCTATATCGTTTTCCTTTAGTCATGGATGTTCTCACTAGACATTTGCAAGAGGTTGTACCCTGTGAGACCTGTAATGCTTTATGGTGCAAAACGTTGGCCATTAAAAGAGAAACCTAATGTTAAGTTAATTGTTGCATAGATGAGGATGCTCAGTTGGATGAGTGGCTTTACTCTTAAAGATAGGTTACGAAAAGAGCATATACGTGAAAAGGTTGGAGTAGCTCCAGTGGAAGATAAGATTAAAGAGAGTCGCCTTAGATGGTTTGGTCACATAAAACGGCGGCCTTCCGATGACCCGGGTAGAAAAGTAGATGTATTAGATTTGATTTATGTTAAGAAAGGTTGAGGTAGATCAAAAAAGACTTCTTTAGAAAATATTAGAAATGACATTTCTTTATTAAATTTAGATGAGAATTTGACCCTTAACAGGACACAATGGAGAAAAAGGATTCATGTAGATGACCCCGCACAATGGGATAAATATTTGTTGTTGTTGTTGTTGAGAAATAGATGGAGAGAGATTTAGGAAGGTTCTAATTATTATTTGTTGTTATTATTATTTTTTTTTTTTTGAAGGTGTGGGGGTAGGGAGGAGATGGGGGGATTGATTTAGGAAAGAGATCCAAAACAAATTCAAATTGAGGGAATAAATCAAAGAAAGGGGTTGGTTTAGGAGGGAATTTTGAAATCCTATTTAGTGCTAATCATATTATATTCTAAGTTTTACGCAATTGATTTTCTTCTGTAGTTTGATATTTGTGATTCTCCTAGCGGCGTCTAGGGTTTGTGGGAGAGATGATATATCTCTCAAAGAGTATATCATTTGTGTCTTTCATTATTGTTGAAGTATTAATTAAAAAAAACAGTCCTTATCTTCAATTTCCTACTTGTTCTCTTGCTCCTTTTACTTCCAAGACGCATCATAAACAAACATTTATCCAAGAGAAAAACTATGTAACTTCTCATTCGAAGCCTATTTATGATAGACCAACACAAAAATTATGCATTGTTGAGCCTAATTTTACTTAAGACACTATAGTTCATGAATATTCTCTTGAGAATGTAACAGATAAAAAAAATGATTTACAATTATAATTGGAATCTATATCTAGAGTAGTTGAATCTGTATTCGCATCTATAATAGAGCATGTTCTTGAATATCAACCTATATTTGATCGAGAGTTAGAATTACAGTTTTAAAACAATGTTAAGCATGAGATCATACTTAAACCCACATAAAAATAAAAATAAAAATAAAAAAACCTACATTTTTAAAGAAAATCAAAATGCCAAAATATACCAATCATATTTGGTGTAGTAGATGAATCAAATTAGTAAAATGAAAAGGTAATACTTTTATGAATAATTTGTTGATATTATTTCTATGAGGAATGATTAGACTGATATTATTATTTTAGTATGATTTTGCAACATACATATTAATAGAATAAACTTTTTGATTAGAACTAAGTGATGTCAATATTTTAGAAAATTTATTAACAGTAAGTTCTTTAAAAGAACTTGAAATAGAAAACTTCATTTATGGGGTCAATTCTAAAGGTGCATGCTTCATTCAAACACATATAAAAATTTAGGTTAGCCATTTTAAAAGAAGTTTTCGGTCTGTGTGAACATATTATCATTGTGTGGTTAATTGATATATAATTTCATTAGCATTCATTTTCTAGGATTTCATTAATAGTCATTATTAGTATTCATTAGAATGCCTAATAGTTTTATAGTATTTTCATTACTCCATTCGTATTATATGAGCCATTTGCATGATTTGCATGAATTTGATTAAAGATATTTGAAAAAAAACAAAGCTACTAATTATGACAATTATATGCTTTAGTTGATGTGAATATGAGATATACGAAATTTATGTCTGATGGTAAGATCATGATGACGCATCAAAATCCAAAAAGGCTTCCATCAAGAAGCTTTAAAAATTGAATGCAAGGACGATCTGATCATTTAAAATTCTGCAACAAATTGGAAAGCAAAGAGATTCCAAAAAATTCTTATATCAATCTAATTTTCAATGCATCCAATTTGATCTTATTTCATAAGCCTATTATCAATTCCTTTGGACTCTTCTTTTACCATCTTCTCATTGTGAGCACATCCAAAACCTTCGCTAAATATTTAAAAGCAATTTGTTCCTGAGACTAGTTTAGATGGTTAGATTTTGTCTACGAAGATTTTAAGTACATTGGCATGAAAAATTTGCTTGCAATGGTTCATTAATTATTTTGAAAAACTCATCAAAAACTAAGTTCAAATTTTCTTTATGAATTCTAATTTTAATTTTTTTAAGTTTAATTTTTTTTTTTTAAGTCGAGCAGATTGGTTTGGAATTGTTATGAAGGGTTGGTAGTTGGTTTTTTTTTTTTTTCTATCGGAGATGTAGCTTTTGGTGGTGATACTTGCAATGCTTTTATGGTGCAAAATATTGGCCATTAAAAGAGAAGCATAATATTAAGTTAAGTGTTGCAGAGATAAAGATGTTTAGATGGATGAGTGGCTTTACTATTAGAGACAAGATACGAAACGAGTATATAAGTGCAAAGGTGGAGAAGCTCCAATGGAAGATAAGATTAGAGAGAGTCGCCTTAAATGGCTTTGTCATATTAATTGCATCAAGGAACCCTAATCCTAAGTCATCATGTATCAAATTCATTCAAAGTATAGAGAATGCATGGTTGCATACCTACCCAATACCCATAATGCGAACTTAGCTTATGTATGGTCCTGTGAAAGTTTACAACTTAGCTGGTGCTAAAATGATCATAGAAATGACAAGAAAAACACCAGAAGCAAGAGTAAGAAAACATTATAAAACTAATAGCAAACTAACTATAAAACAAGCCAGCCATTGGATCTAAGTAAATCTAAAAGATTGTAAGAACCACACAAGCATTAGGAGAGTGTGAAACCCAAAATTAAAAAAATATATCATTAAACATTATTATCATAACGAAAACAATATTAATGTTTTAACAGGAACTCTTCAGAGAAAATCAGATATGCTGTCATCAAACAAAGAAAAAACGTAAAAGATAACATACATCGCAGACAGTAGAATCTTTTCTATTCTGAAGATTTTCTCTGGAAGGCTCAAATCCTCTCTTCTGAATATCACCTCTTGTGAGAATCCCCTCAAGAAAATCATCTGTATCCACAACAAGCACACAACTCTGCTGATTATCATGCATAAACTTAATGACGTCTTTCAAGACAGTTGTAGGTGAAACTTTAACAAAGTTCTTTGACATGGCCTGGGAAACCTGACAAAAAATAAACGAATAATTTATTTTCTAGAAACAATGATCCAGTACCCAACAGAACAGGTAAACATGGATCAGAAAATGGCAGTGATGCAGAAAGTATACACCCAAACAAGTAACCAACAGAAAAAATTGGTCTAACCAACCTTCAATTCATCAAGAAGTGCTTCATTATAAATTCCATGCAACTGCATTTCAGTTTCACGAACAGAGAGTTCTAGATCATCTCCATCTCTCCAAACAGTATCATTTTTCTCCTCAGAAAATGAAAGAGAAGAATAACCACGCCCATTGGCACTTGTCTCCACCACATAACAATCTTTGGACAGGTTGGCAACTGAAGGAACCCAAATTGCTAAACCAACTGCTCCCTGTTGAAGGGCGTACACCATAAGTTAAAATCATTAAGTTCAATAATATATATATATATATATATAGAGAGAGAGAGAGAGAGGGGGAGAGGGAGAGGGAGAGAGAGAGAGAGAGAGAGAGAGAGCATTAAGAAAACGAAACATCATAGTTCTGGTGAACATGAATACTAAATCGAGCTTTCTCTCAAGTTTAAATTCCAAAAATACGTGTAATTTCAAACATGAGCAACGTTGCCACCCAGTATGAAGCAACATCATTATATTGTGCAACGTCTCTTCCTACAGTTGTGCATTTAATGGAAAGTGTTTCGAATATAAACTTGGTCTGAATATAAGCTAGGTGGAAAAGAATTGTAAGAAACTGACAGGAAATTCTTTATCATCTTTCTCCTTTTCTTCCCATCAAACTAAAAATAGATCATTTCCAAGAAGCTGAGCCAGCTGTCCCAGCTCAGCACAATTGTTGAAGGTAAAGATAAAAACTAGTAAAATAAAAACCGGATAATATTTTTACTGAAGATTAAAGAAACAATGCGTAGCACTTACAACAAAGCGGATAATATATTTGTCAGTATTTATACACAATAAACCTTACAAGAGTTGGAAAAGATAGGCTATCTAAGTACTTATCCACACATGTATAGCACTCTATTGATATGAGGTCAAAGTTCTGAGACACGAGGGTCCAGCTGCAACTACTTATAAAACCCATATTGAATGTTGATTAAAACCCAAGTTAGATATGACCAAACAAACAGGCTACACACATTGCAAATAGATATATATATATAAGTTTGCAAACTTACCATAAGCGGGAGAAGGATTCTGTAGTCCTTTGTTAGTTCAAAGAGAAGTAATACTGAGGTTAAGGGAACTGAGCAAACTGAAGCTAGAGTAGCTGCCATCCCAACCTGCAGCATAAGAAACCTCTTAAGCTCTTGTCAACCAAAAGTCCCAACTGGTAATACAAATAATTTTTATGCTTACAAGAGCATAGGCCTGAGGCTGCGCAAGAGCACCATTCCCAGGAATTGCAGAATTTATTAATTCTGCCGCAGAACCCCCAAATACAGCACCAACAGCAGCACCTAACATCAAACTTGGAGCATAAAGGCCCCCTACAAGCCCAGAACCCTTGCAAAGAGCAGTTGCTACTACTTTTGCTGCAGCTAGTTGTGTTAACAGCCAGATTCCAGGAGCAGCAGCACTCTTCCCAGTGTGCAAGATTTCATCAACATTAGTGAAACCCCAGTATAATGTTCCAGGATATTTCAGAGCTATTATACCTGCTCCTAAGCCACCTAAAGCAGGACAAACAACAGCAGGAAGGCCAAACCTTTCCTTGATATACTCGAAGCATCTTGTGAACAAGACAACCAACCTAGTAAAGACCACACTGACCACCCCACACAACATGCCCAGGATGAGGTAGAGTGGTAGTTCTGCAACGGAAAAACAAAATATGAAATGAGAAGTGCTGAAATAAGTTTCTCCTAGAAACTCATGCAGGTTAAGTCTTCCCAGTTAAAACAGGAGAACTGCGTCCCACACAAACAAAAACCATATATTTTCAATACTTAAATATATAAGTGGCGTGTTATATATAAAAGGAGTGCAACATTTAAGAAGATGTTGCACCAATATCACATCTTTATATGGCATGTTGCATGAAGATGGTGTTGAAAATGTGTTGAGTTATAGGGTTTGGAGAGCATTTTTCTTCAAATGATTATGTTTGAAACCTCAAAAATGGAAAACCTAACCTGTTATATGTCACAATTGGGAAAAAAAATTAAAAGCAAACCAAAAGGAAATTGCAGATATCCTATCCCTCAAATCTTCCAGTTCCATGTACTAGCAATCTAGAGATGCAGTTCTCATAACAATGCTATTCAATTGCTTCCTAGAAGTAAAGCTATAATAATAATCTCAAAAACAAATTCAACAAGCCAAAAAGAAACTAAACTATGAGCTGAAAAGTTCGTTCCACATTTGCAATCATTCATCAGAAGACTTCAGAAGTGATACACATGTTATTTCTACCTCCGGTTATCTTAAGCCAAGTCAGAATAAGATAAGGTACCAGCAGCAGATTTTAGTTCATACGTCGGCACAGTAAAAGCTGGTCGTTCTCCAAGTAATACATTTGAAACTGTGGATGATATAACTGATGCCAGAATAATCATTGCAGTTGTGAAGGGGGGTGAATTCTCTGCACGTAGTGGCCTCAGTACGGTTTCAATAGCAAAGAAGCATCCAGCAACGGCAGCATTAAAGCCTGACATTGAATTAAAGGAAACAAAGCAAGACTGTAAGCAGAAAATCAAGAAGGGCATAAATATATTACGATAGATATTGTACATGCAGACAAGAAGGGCTTCTTTGGTTGCATGTGAGAAGTGGGAAATGAAAAGTGAGGGAAGTGAATCATTGCTGTTGTTGGTTGACTGGGGAAGTACAAAGTATCTTCGCCAGAAACTGACAAGTATGATTTTTTGACATTTGACTTCAGGATAATATACTCTAAAATCACACTTTCGAAGTTAATAAATGCAATACTCTCATTTTCTAGATAACTATAATAGCACTTACACATGAACACAAACATCGTTTCTACATTTACATACCAATAACATAATTTATGACAAACTATATTATAGTATATATTAAAATTATATACATGTTTTTAAGAATTAATGCATAATTTATTAGTTTATACTTTATAATAATGCATTTAATAATAGATTGATAATAGACTGTTAATTTCTTATATGTGCATAGTAATAATAGAAATGAATATGATATTATATTCAATAAAAAATAAATATATAATAATGTATAATTTACTTAAAACATTTGTAATGTTCTTTTTTTTAATTATTTTACAAGTTTCATTTATTTTATGAATATATTTATGCAGCTTGTTTATATATACCTCAACTTTTAATCTAAGAAATGAAATGTGTCACTTCCTCTCATCTAAAGGCAACCAAACAGGCCGAAAGTCTCAAGAAGATGTAATTAATATCATGTCCTGACCAAAATTCATATTTCCAGGCACCTATACCATTTAAATTTTATAAAGCATTATCAAAATCATGAAAAGCCACATGCAAGAATTGAAGATGGCCAGCTTGAAACTACATTAAAGGATTACAAAAAATCCTCGTTCAATTATACATGAACTGATCATAAGTATATCATGGGGTGGGCAATCAGTAGTTCAAAATGCCAAAACGGCTGCTTGCCACATTTTCTAGCTTGATTTGAATACAGCAAAAATTAGTTTTACATGAGACTTCAGTAACCACTACAAAAATGTTCTCCTGAACTTCATCTATATATCCAGGTTATGATGACGTTTCTTCACTCACACATCATTTTATAACTTGAAATAAAACGAACGTTAAAAGAAAAAGAAAAAAAATATATACAACCTGAAGCAATCCCAGCAGCAGCACCAGCAGCAACAAGAGCTATCCTCCTTTCTCTATTGTTCTCCATCATTTCTGAACAGCCATTAGCACATGATTTACCAATGTCTACGCTAGGACCCTCAGGACCTAGTGAGCAACCTGTGCCTAAGGTCACAGCAGCTTGGATAGCCTTGATTGTTGGAAAGATTCCAGCCAACAAGTCTATGCTTGGTTTTTGTGATCTGGACTGCTTTATCTGCTCAAAGATTTCAAGCAGTCCATGCATCATCCCAACAACAACCCCTCCCGTTACTGGTATTAACAATATCCTATGCCACGTATCAGCTAGTCTCTGTAATCGAAGCCAAGCAGCACCCTCATTTGGGGTACCAGCCCAAGCCCATTCATGAATCACATGCACCTTAGTTGAATAAAAAAACAAATTCAGGTTATAAACGAATCCAAAGTCATCAACACAAATTCTACTTTCAAAACTAACACATTTCCATTTGGGATACTTCCACTTGGCTAAATTTTGGACAACTTAAACATGTAAGTGCCATCAAATAAAGAATGCCTATAGTAAGCTAAGATAAATATTTAATGGAGAAACTGTCAAAGCAACACACCAACAATCACTTCAAAAGCATTCCAAGGTGGAGCAAGAGCTTTGGTTTTCGCCACTGATAACATGTTTCATGGTTTGTATTCTCAAATCCAAATGAGTATAAAAATGATTTCCAAGCAAATGAGTAACCAGTATTTAGTATCAGAAAAACAGTAATATAAGTAACATGTAAACTCTGATTGCCCATCTCAACCATATATACACGCCTTTAAATGAAATCAATAGTACCGAAAACTGAGTCATTAAATCGGCAGGTGAGATTAAAATGTGGGTGCAGTCAATGGTGGATCCATGCATAGTAATGGAGGTGCAACTGCGCCACTAAAATTGCTATAAACATGGCTTAAATAAAATCAAAAATTAAATAAATGATCCCCAAAACCACACTCCGATAATCTCAAACCTCTCCTCACCAAACTCTCTCATATGTTTAGTATTACTGTAAATCTCATGAGTGCATCCTAGATTTTCTCTACAAATAAGAAATCCCTCCAATTCCCCCATGAAGTGTGCTAAATTCGGACGCTTTTCACTAAAAATTTGAGTTGAATGATGCGCTCGCAATCCAACCTAGCTTTTTATTGGATGATATTGATGTGTAAGTCTCAGGTCAAATTTCAGCTAGAAAATGTCAGAAATTTAAGCTTTCTCTTCTCCCATTTAAGGATCCCAACGGGAACCAAATCTCTCAGTTATGGCAACAGTCAAGACCATGTCTTCAGCCCTGTTTTTGGTTCTAATGGTAGAAAGCACTCTGTTATCACACACTTGGAGTTTCACAGGGCACAAAAGCCAGATGTAAAGGCAGCTGTCAGCATCATCTTGCTCATAGCCATAAGCTTAAAAGCAAAGCGTGTTAGGGAAATGAATGAATTTAGTTACCTTGCATTTGCATAAACTATGCAGTGGTATTAAAGACTGAAGCAAACCTTTGGAAATGCTTCTCAAATATAATAATTATACAATAGTACATCATATATATACATCATATTGATGCATGAAAATTTTCATAAATAAATATTAAATGCACATTTATAGATAAAAAACTTGTTTTGTAATTAAAATAATATTTTATTAAAATTAATAAATTTGACTTGAATCAATTAGAAACTCCAAGTCACTTTGTCTTGACTCAAACCTAGATAAGATGAAATCAAAATTTTTAAGAACCATTGCATATGATTTGCCATTACTGACACTAAGACTTCAACTATAAGCATAGAAAAAAAGGAAAGAAATAAAAAAGCATACTTCTTTCGAAGAACAAACCTCATCATTATCATCATCAAGCCTTGCCCCAACTATATGCGGTTGGCTTTATAAATCATTATTTTTCATTTATTCATGCTAACTACTCCCTAAGGTGTTAAACATATTCTCCCCAAATTAGTATAAACTTACAAACATTTTACCTTAGGTCCACCTCTTCTACATGATCTGCATCATTTTTTAAACTGTCTAATGGGTGAATTTTCTATATTTCATTGCACATGTTCAAGCCACCTAAGGATAATGTTTTGTTCGTTGACATCTATTGTGCAATGACATATTATTAGCAGGTATCAATTGTTTGGTTCCTGACATCTTTAAACAACAAAAGATGAAATTCATTTTTTATTTTGATGGTATCTAGAATCCAAAAAAATCTACAACAACATCAAGTCATTATCTCACTACATGGGTTCGGCTACATGAATCATTTTTTTCCATTATGTTCTGTTAAGAGTCAAATTCTCATTTAGATCTAATAAAGAAATGTCATTTCTAAATTAAATATAAACCAAAAACAAAACAAAAAAAAACAAAATCGCCATTGATCATTTTAAATAAAATTAAATTATTGAGCCAGGGAACATTGAATTAAACAGAGAGCATTTAAGAGAACACTGCTAACTTAGATCTTATAATTATCATCTAAATATCATTGAGCCTAACACACTGCAAATCTATTTTCAATTATCGTAGTTTTGATTGATATTGCTCCAATTGCTGCTCTAAAATAAAACATAAGGAAAAAAAGTAGAAAACAAACCATCTTTTAGGTATAAGGTACATGTAACATAATCTCAGTAACAGAAACTGCTTATAAGATCGCAAACAAATAGAAAACGCCTTTCTATCCTCGCTTGTCAATTAAAATCAGTGTTGCGCTCTCAATCAGCTAATGTGCTCAAGCGGCAAAAACGACCTTTTTTCATCATTTCGCGTAAAAATATTAAAATTGTAAAATGAAATCATATAATTTACATCACCAAGAAGAGTGAGGCCAAGCAGCCGTCAATAGACATACCCCGCGATTAAAAGCCGCGACGCAGATTCCTGTAGCAACGCCAAGCAGACAGCCGATGAGCAGCAGCGCCCATTCGGGCGGTGCCCCGTCGGCGAGCTCGTCGCGCGACCGCTCATAATCCGGCGCCGCAAGGGAGATCCCGCGGCCTGATTGCCTTCGATTGAGCCTGGAACCCGAGAGGCTGCGGTCAAGATGGCGAAGGAGGTCGCCGATCCCTCTCCCGTTTCTCCTAGCCGCCGACGGTGACAACGATGATTGTGGCGGCGAAGATGACTGGGCCTCCGGATCTGAATCGGAAGTCGAGGGTGCGGATCTGAGAAGAACCTTGTGATCTTCGGAATCGAACTCTATTCGCGACATCTCTCCGTTGTATCCCACCCTCTCTCCAACAAGGCAAAACCCTAGACTACCATCCAGCTTCTAGTCCAATGGTGATTGATTCGAGGAATCCTCGCCGCTAAGGACGATATTTATTACAGAAGCAGAACCAAAAACTACCTATCGCTTTTTACTTCCGCATGTCGATGAGAGTGAAACAGGGCGGGCTTCCCTTCGCGGAGCAGAGGCAGCGACGGTGGTGGAGGTCTTTCGAAGGAACGTGGGACCCATGCCTATCATCATACGTGGCGGCTAAGGAGTGGTTTAAAGTGCTGTGGTATCTTTTGTGAAATCGGTCAATGGAAAATGACTTTTTTGTTATTTTAGTTTCGCGAAAACGGTTCTGGACACGTGGCCGACTGTGTACGGGGTAAAGTGAGGGTGCAGAGGGGTGCGTGATCGGTGAGTGGATCGGTGGGTGGAGGTATCGTGTAATAGGTGCCAGAAGCGTCTACCAGCGTTCCAATCGTATGGTCATATGACACATCGCAGTAGCAAATCGTAAATTGCATTATTTATCTCCAAATTTGCTATAACGAATGGCGTCCAGAATTACGAATGAAAAATATATTAGACCTCCAAATTATATTTTAATATATTTAAAATATAAGCAATAAGGCAGTAACAGCAACAACATTAAATATTTATCTCATTATCTATATAAATTTATTTTCTCCATTAAATCATGTTAAGAATCAAATTCTTATTTAAATCTAATAAAGATGTGATTTTTAATATTTTCTAATCAAATATTTTTATGTCTATCTCTACCTCTTTTAATATAGACCAAATCTAGTACATCTATTTTGCTAACTAGGAAATCTAAAGGATGACGTTTTATATGACAAAACAATCTAAGACGACTCTCTTTAATATTATCTATCACTGAAGCTACTCCAACATTTTCACGTATATGCTCATTTTACATTCTATCTCTAAGAGTAAGTCACTCATCCACCTATGCAACCTTTAACTTATTTATATGCTTCTCTTTTAAAGTCTAGCATTCTGCGCCATAAAGCATTGTAGGTCTCACCGTCATCTTATCAAATTTTTCCTTAAGTTTGAGGGGTATTTTTTTATCGCATAATAGACTTGATGCATTCCTTATTCTTCAACCATCCAACTTGAATTCTACTAATAATATCTACATTTATTTTACCATCACTCTAAGCAATAGACCTGAGATATCTAAAACGTGTACTCTTGTTGATAACTTGATCGCTCAAAGTCACTATCTCTCATTAGATCTATTACCACTAAAAGTACACTCAATGTATTAAGTTTTAGTTCCACTCAAATGAAAACCCTTAGACTCTAAGGTTGACTTAAATAATTCAATTTTAAATTTAACTCCCTCTCTAATCTTATCAATAAGAAGAATATAATCAGCAAAATCATACACCAGGATACATCCTCGTGTAAATGTCTAGTAAGAACATCCATGGCTAAAGAAAAAAAGATAAGGGTTTAAAGTTTTTCTTTGATGTAATTCAACTTAAATAGGAAAATACTTAGTCTAACGTTCTTGTGTTTGCCGATGAATATTGCGCCGGCTTACTTTAACTCGACGAATAGTTACCAGCGTATTATCCGCCGGTAATATGACTGATTATAATCCATTAGAAAGTTTGATTGAAAGAGCCCTATTTCGACCTGTCCGCCGTCTGACTTCTCATTTCTTTCTCTCTTCCTTCGGATAGCTTCGTTTGCGTCCAAGAGCTGCCTCGAATGCGACCAAACCCTTGCTAACTTTTGCCGCACCATTCACCGTCAGTTGCCTCTACTCGTCGACACCGATAAGGGAAGGTTGCTACCTCTGATAAGAGATCAAGTATCTTGGTGTATTCTTTTTTCTTTTATTATGGATGTTCTCACTAGACATTTGTAAGAGAATGCCCCTTGGTGTATGCTTTTAATTTTGTTATGGTTGTTCTCAATAGACATTTGCAAGAGAAGGTATCTTGGTGTATTCTTTTTGCTTTTGTTATGGATATTCTCACTAGACATTTGCAAGGGAATGAACCTTAGTGTATGCTTTTGATTTTGTTATGGATGTTCTCACTAGACATTTGCAAGAGAAGATATTATGGTGTATGCATTTTGGTTTTATTATGAATGTTCTCACTAGACATTGTTAAAGAGAATGAACCTTAGTGTATGCTTTTGCTTTTGTTATGGATATTCTCACTAGACATTTGCAAGAGAATGAACCTTAGTGTATGCTTTTGATTTTGTTATAGATGTTCTCACTAGACATTTGCAAGAGAAGGTATTATGGTGTATGAGTTTTTGTTTTGTTATGAATGTTCTCACTAGACATTGTAAAAGAGCATGAACCTTAGTGTATGCTTTTGCATTTGTTATGGATGTTCTCACTAGACATTTGTAAGAGAATGTATCTTGGTGTATTCTTTTAATTTATTTTTGTTATGGATGTTCTCACTAGACATTTGCAAGAGAATATATCTTGGTGTATGCTCTTGGCTTTAGTTATTGATGTTCTCACTAGACATTTGCAAGAGAATGTATTTTGTTGTATGTTTTTTGCTATAATACATTATGGATATTCTTACTAGACATTTACAAGAAAATGTACCTTGGTGTACGCTTTTTGCTGATGGTATTCTTCTTATTTTTTATAGGTTGTTGAAGGTAAACTTGAATTATGTAGGTCAACCTTAGAGTCTAAAGGTTTTTGCACAAATAGACTGAAAGCGAATCAATATAAGGTAAATGGATTTTGATAATTAATTATTAATCAACTTCATGACAATAATTAGTTTTTTTATTTTGTCATTACTCTACTTTATTTATTTATTTATTGTGTTATTTTATATCAGTTTTTTATTGTAATTTATGTTGCTAATATTTCTTTCTTTTTTTTTTTTTTGCAGATGGCTTCACGTGATGAGCCTAAAAGAAGAATGATTATATTTTTTCTCAAAAGCGCACAAAGAAGATGACTATTGATTGAACCTGACGGGGACATGTATGTACTTAAAATATTATTAACATACAACTAAAATTTAATAAATATTTTTATCACCTAACATATTTTTGGCAGGTTTTACCCATCAAAATAATCGGCACATAAAATACGGGACATAATATGGAGCATGTATGATGCTCCTTATGTTTCTTGGAAGAAAGTCCTAAAAGAAGTGTGGGGCATGTGGTTTAAAGAGTTTGAGGTTAGTTATTATGTAAATATATTTTATATTATATCTTTTTTACATAAGCTAACAAAAATATATATTATACATTATATATTTGTAAATACTGAAAGATTTTTGTTAGATGCCACAACACAATGATAGAATCAGAAAGAATTTTGAGAAGCGTGGCTCGACTCGCATGCAAGACATATTTATAAATATTAGAAAGGCAGGTGAACGACCACTCTATATTTGTAATGTGTGGGGTGAGTTGAACAGTGCTTGGGGTAACCTAGAGTATAGCAAGAGGATGAACCAAAATAGGCATAACAGAGCTTCTGATGTTGGGGGAATGGGTAGTTCCCTTCATACTGGTGGTTCAGTTTCACATACTGAGCATAAATGACGTTTGATAAGGAATTGCATAAGATTTACATAATTTACTTTAATATTAATACTAATATATGTTTGTTAGAGGTGTTCGGAATAGAACCAACCCATGTTGAATTTTATAGTCATACCCATAAGAGGTAGGAGGATCAGCAATAGGTTGATAAACGAGCGAGAAAAGCCTGTATAAGTATATAAGTTTAATATTTTTTATTTAATGTGTAAATTGCTTAACGTTTTTATTAACTTTCATAGGAGGAGTATACACGCATTAAGAGAGTCAAGCTGTAGTAGGTCAAGGTCATTTGATGGATCAACAGAATATTCTGAGTACCGCACTTAGTCGCAAGCGATAGGAGGAATGCAACATGACAGAGTATACTGTTTAAGCTCGTAAGCCTATGCATATGAGGGGCAGATATCTGGTGGACCTAGCTTCTAATCAAATGCTCTGGACTCTTTATATATCCAATAGGTAGCTTCCCTTACAACCAAGTTAGAGCATGTCAGAAAAGCACAAGTTGACTGGCAGATACAGATGCATCAGTAGATGGAGATGCAACAAACTCATGCAATTGTAGTAAACTCAATTGTTAGAGAAAACATAAATGATGAGGGAACAATTAAGTGGGCAGAATGCAGCATTAACAGAGGAGTCTGAATAGGAATAGATGTTTATTTTAATGATGTGAACATATATAATTATGTATTTTTGGACAAGTTTACTTATTTGTTTTATGGACATTTGTACTTATTTATTATTAGATATTTGTTCATGATATTATTCTTGTTTTTATTATTGTGTATATGTTTGGTGATGTTCTTGATTAAAGCTGGATGTTTGAATTTATATATTATTACAGTTTTCTATGTATAATATATTGTGGAAATCAGTTTTAAAAATCAGGTGGTTATTTTTTTATTTTTGTTATAGGTTTTCGGTGAATTTTGCATTGGAAATAATGTCAGCAACATGATACAATGAAGTAAAATCATCATTTCCATCGTACATTTGTGCCAGACTTTCTAGCGGAATATCTACCAAAAACTTCCACCGATAATCATGCAATAGACTAGGAAGATGGATTATGCTAGAACTTGCTAACTAAAAAGACACCGGTCTCCCATTTTTTGTCGGTTTAGATTTTCTGATGCACAAATTATCATCGAAATAGTTTTCTTCGGCATTTCACCGGGAAGGGAAAATTTCTGGAAGATTTCTAGTGTTAACATGGATTTTGTCCTCTAGTAACAAAGCATTTTCATGTAGTGAAATAATATTGAAAAGTTTTGTAAGCAAAAAAATCCCTTCAACTTCTAAGCATTTTCACACCTCTATTGGAAATATCATCATGTACAACACCTTTTTCACACTTCATTTTATTTAAAGCCTCTATAACTTTATTTTTATTGATACATCGATAAAAATAAATATCTATATTTTCATTTAGGATTATAAGGTCACTAAAGTCAATCGTATTATCATAATCTTCATTAAAAAGCTTATCAAAGTATCTCATCAACTATTATTGAATATCTTGTTCAAATAAAAATACTTTTAGATCTTCATCCTTAATACACGTCACTTGAACTAAATTATTACTTCTCATATCTCTTTATTTGGCTAACTTATACCCTTTGTATATAATCTATAATACAAACCATTAAAAGATAAATTATTTGCATCACATCTAGCTTTCTTGGACTCCTTACGGGCCACTTTATATCTTTCATAATTATTTGTATTTTTACATTTGAAGTAATTTTTATAACTAAACTTCTTATTTTTTATCTTTCCTTACATATCTTGATTTTAACACCAAACATTTTTATTATTGGGAGCTTTTTCTTTTGGTGCATGATAAGTATAGATAATCTATTATTTTATGTGTTATATTTTCAAAAAAATATATATTATTTTAGTTATGTTGTGCAAGAAAAATATAAAAAAAGCATAAAATTTTAAGTATCATCCAACATTGCAGTGTTGGATAAATCAGTGCAGCAACACCATTAAGGGCACCACCGGAGCGCTACAATATTAGCACGGTGGAGCTGACTTCTTTATTGGACAGTTTGGATTATCATAGGGCATTTCTCTAGAGTTATTGAATAGCCTTTTTTTTTCTCTCTCCATACTGACTTTAGGATCACAAGTTCTTTTTTTTCTTTTGGGGAAACCCACATAGGGGCCTATGTGTTAATATAAGGGCAAAATTACACAGTCCTTAAGGGAAACTCAATCCCACTATTTCTCAAAGAGCTACATTCCAAAAAGAAAACCAAAAACCTAGGGGTTCGAGTTTCCCAACTAAAACACAGTACAAAACAACCTAGTAACACTCTACGGTGCTTAAGACTAAGCACCCAAAAAAAAATGGGAGAGCGCAAAAAAAAAAAAATACCAAAAAGCTCCCAACAACAGGAATCCAAAATCAAAATCAACTTGACGTCCATGTCCTGCAACCACCAAAAAGAGACACGGAACAGAAAATAGCACAAAAATATTAAAGAAATGAAATTGAAAGGAAATACTATTAAAACTAAAAGGATATATCTGGAACAAGAGCTTCTGGTAACACTCCAACTCTCCCAGCAACCCATCCAGAACTGAAGAGGAGACCTGTGCTTGTCGTTAGTCCAAAACACAAAGAAATAAAGCATAACAACAACCCCACCATCCCTACAACACCCACCCCACCAATATTAAGCAAATCTCCCAGAAACAATCAAACCCGAGCAACAACAGCGAAGAGAAACAGGGGCAGCAACCACCTAAGAACCCCCAACCAGCCAACAACACCACAGAAACCTGGAATAACCTCAGCAAACTAAACGCCAGAGGACCACCCCACCCAGAAAATTAAAAAACATCAACATAAGGAACACTATTCTGGTCCAAATTAATTAAGCCTTGAATAAGGACAGAAAGATTCTTAAAAGATAAATCAATAATACCGTTAAACTTACTACCAAACTCAGCCAAAGTCTGAGAAGGAGAATTAATGACAGGGGATACATAGGTAAACGAGCAATTCATAGAATCCAAAATAAATTTAATATTTCTATGGGTATAGAAGAGAGAATACCCACAACTACTACCATCCAAATCCAGCAACGCTTTGAGATCCACATCAAAATTACATTCCAGAATAATACTCTGGATGTCCAGAGCAACACAGAGGTAAGCCCATGAAAAACATCCATATAAATACCTCCAAGTTTATCAGTTTCATTAGTTTTACCAGAAAACCCCAAAACATAGGCCCCATTAGAATTTCTAATTAAGCCGCCCATACACCAAATGTTCCCCTCCAAAACAGTATCAATATTTAGCTTAAAATAGTTAGCTTGAGGTCTCATCTAATACAAAATCCTATTCACCGGATTAAACTGAGTCCCATCAAGCTTAATCCAAAAACCCGCAAGCGTGAAAAGCACCTTATCAAAACTTTTAAGGGAGATAAGATTAGCAGTAAACATGGATTTAACCTTCTACTTAATTTTAAAAATAATATAGTGATGATCCATTAAATTACCATTAAACCGGGAGTCATTTCTAGCCAACCAAATGTACCAAACTATAAGAACTAGGATAACATTCCTAATATGGCCCTTAACACGAACCATCCAATCCTTAAACAAATTATAGATAGAACAATGAGGCCCCTAAAAATTAAAGTGAAATAAATCCTCAAAGAAAATCCACACCTTAACAGCAATAGGAGAAGAAATAAAAACATGCTGTAATTTTTCATCGTTAAAGCAACATTGACATTTAGAGGTAATAAACATACCTCTTTTCCTAAGCAGCTCATCCGTAGGAATAAACTCCTTAAGAATTCTCAAATTTAAAATAGAAACAGTGGTAGGAATGCTCTTGTGCCACATCATTTTAAAAGGCTTAGAAGACTCCTTTTTATTTCTAAACACATGCCAAGCATCTTTAGTTCTAAAAAGACCATCTTTAGTAAATGTACAAAGTAAAGCATCTTTAGCATTACGATTAAGAGAAATGTTAGCAATCATTTGAATAATAGAATCAGGAATAATAGAAGAAAGTTTATCCAAATCCCAACCATTGGCAGAATAGAAAAAGTTAACTCTCACCATACTCCTAGAATTCGTGTTAAGGAGAGCCTCAAGGGATAGACCATTAATCCAACGATCCTGCCATAAGAAAATGTTACCCTCCCCAAGGCCCCAAGCTAAACAGGACTTAAGTTTCCACTTAATCTGACACAGACAATGCCAAACCTTATAATGCCCTTTAGAATATAAACAATTAGAGGGGTGAAGATCCCCACAATATTTAGACCTCATAAAATTAGCCCACAAAGACACATTAGCTCTTAAATTATAACATAATTTAAAAGAAAAAGCAGAAGCCAAATCTGTCATCGACTTGCAACCAAGATCACCTTCCTGTAAAGTACCACACCACTTATTCCATGAGGACCAATGGATTTTAGAATTAACAGAAGAACCCCTCCAAAAAAATTTGTTAAAAATTCTATCAATCCTCAAAACCACCGTCTTAGTAGGAAAAAGAACTTGAAAATTATAAACAGGAATAGAGGCATGAACACTTTTGATAAGAACTAGCCTACCACTAAAACTCAAAAACTTGGAATCCCAAGAAGCCAAACGATTGTGCACCGTGGAAAGCAAGCCATCAAATAGAAAAGTCTTTTTTCTACCTTTAAACAAAGGAATACCTAAGTACTTTAAAGGTAAAGTAGCTTGGGAAAAGCCCGTAAAGTTCTTAATATCCAAAATTCTATTAGGAGGAACATTCTTAGAGATGACAAAACAACCTTTATCTTTGTTAAAAACCAAACCACTCACAGCTTCAAACTGATCAAAAAAGCCCAAAACTTTAGAAATCCTATTTTTCGAAGCATTCATAAAAACAATGAAATCATCGGCAAAACATAAATGAGAAATGTTAATACCACCCATAGTTCTAAAATAAAGACTAGGAAATTTGCAGAACAAGTCAGAAAGCCCCCTAGTCAAATACTCCGCCGCCAAAATAAAGATAGCCCTGGGAAATAGGATCCCCTTGTCTCAAACCATGAGAAGACTTAAAGAAACCATGACACTTGCCATTAAGGATAATAGAAAAGAAAGGGCTTTCAATGCACGAGCTAATAAGAGCAATAAACTTGTCATCAAAACCAAATAATCTCAACATATTATAGATAAAGCTCCAGTTATTGTTGTCCTAAGCCTTAGCAATTTCAAGTTTCAAAATCATGTTCCCCCCTCTAGTCTTAACATCCATAATCCTGACAAAACTCCTGCGCAAGCAGGATATTATCAACAATAGCACGACATTTAACAAACCCCATTTGATTAGGAGAAATAAGCTTAGGAAGAAGTAAGGATAGACAGTTCACCAATATTTTAGAAATTAATTTGTAAAAAATAGAGCATAAACTAATGGGCCTAAAGTCCTTCCAAGAGTTAACCTCATTACTCTTAGGAATCAAAGCAATATAAGTTGAAGAGAAAAACTTGGGAATTGGGGAATCATTAAAAAAATCCATAATAGCGGAATGAACTTCCTCAAAAATAATATGCCAAGAATGCTGAAAAGACTTGACAGTTAAACCATCCAGACCCGCAACAGAATTCACATTCATATTAAATAAGGTGCTCTTGATCTCCTCCAAAAGAGGGCACAAAGAAAGGCTCCTATTCTCCTCTTGAGAAACCATATTAGGAATAAAAGAATGATGCTCAATAGGAAGAGGATAAAAGTCTTTATTATGATGATTTTGAAAAAAATTGACCGCAAGATTAGCAATCTCATCACTATTCATGGTAAAGAAACCATCCCACAAGTTTTCTGAATACCATTAATAGCACGCTTTTTCTTAACCAAAGCATGAAAATATTTAGTGTTATTTGTTAAGATAGTTGCTATTTGAATGCTTTACATTTTTGCAACTTATGTAGTTTTGATGATTCCAAATATTATTGTTCAAATGTGTAGTTATCTCCTAACAATTTTAGTGCCTACACTAGGAGAGTGTGAATAGCCGAAGGGTTCTCTGCCCACACTAGGAGAGTGTGAAAGGACGGACGGTTCTCTGCCAACACTGTGGATTGTGTAAAAGGATGACGGTTCTTTGCCGCACCGGAGAGTGGTGAAAAGAGTGTGTTGTAAAAGCTTCTCCGCCTTGCTGTGGGTGCAAAAGGAGAGTCACTATTGGTATTAGTGCAATACTCAGAGGGTGCCTCTGAGGAGTGGATGTAGGTCTGGTTTTAGACCGAACCACTATAAATCTGGTGTTATTTACTTTACTGTTTTTACGTTTTCGCATTTTAATTCTTAGTCTTAAAAACTCTGTGGTTGAAAAACTTTTTCTACAAAACTTAAAAGAAACAATTTTTATTTCGGTTCAACATAATTTTAAAAGAGGGCTTAAATTTTTTAAACTACCAATTCACCCCCCCTCTTGGTAGCCTTTGGGACATTAACTTAGGCTTAACAACCTAATTACTAGACTCAACATTATTTTCCACTTCCATTAAATACTTAATAGCAGCCTTTTGTTTCCAAAAAATCTCTTCCTGACATTGAAGATTGCTAAGATCCCTTTTGGCCTCATTAAGGGAAGCAAGATTAGAAACCGAGGGATCTCTTTGAGAGCAATCCTCCAGACCATTAATCTTCTTTTCCACCTCAATAATGTTAGAAAAGATGTTTTTGAAAATATTATGGTTCCACCAATTCAACACCAGCTTTAATCTTTTTAACTTAGCCCAAAGCCTAACCATACCAGAAATAGAGTTGTCAGGAAAAATAGTGGCAGACCAATTAGTTTGAACCACATTAAGAAACTATTCATGAGTTAACCACATATTCTAAAATCTTAAACGAGAATGCAAACCCAACATATTAAACTTGACATTAATGAGAAACGGGGAATGATCAGAAAGCGTACGATTAAGATGCACCACCTTAGTAGAATTAAAAACATTAACCCAAGCATTATTAAAAAGAACTCTATCCAAACATTGCCATAAATGACCCCTATGCCAAGTAAATTTGTTACCAGAAAAGCCAATATCAATAAGATTACAATTCATAATCATGTCATTGAAATCCTCCATAGATTGGTAAATAGGATGAGAGCCCCCAACACGCTCAGTAGGATTAGTAATGGTATTAAAGTCACCACCAACCAACCAAGGAAGAGTGCAAACACTATGAAAATTATCAATTTTCTCCCATAAGATTCTCCTAGAATAACGAGAAGAGGCAGCGTAAACAAAAGAAGCAATACATTGAAAGTTCAAGGATTCAATATTACAATGGAGCACTTGAGGAAAATTCCCAATAACATCAATCCTTACAAAATCTTTCCAAAAAACCCAAATCTTATTCGCCACATTAGCAAAAGAATGTTTAAAGCCCAACATTTTAGCATTATCCAAAAGTTTATCCATAGAAACGAGAGGTTCAAGCAAAACAAGAACGGAAATATTATGAATACGACATAAATTTTTAACTCTAAGCTTAGAGGAAGGGCAACCAATCCCCCTCACATTCCAAATAATAGCATTAAACATAAAAAAGAAAATTAATGAGAAGTATGAGATCGGGCAGTCCTTGGGGATTGCAAAATAATGTTTCTAGGTTTTCTACCCCTCTTACCACGACCTTTAGAAAAGCTCAAATCATTATCCTCCCTAGCATAACATTTAACATTAATTTAAATTTCCGTATCAGTATAAGCATCACAAATGTAATGATCAGAAAGAATTTCATTGTTCATCTCACCGCCTGAAGGGTCTAGAGTAGAGTTATCACCTTCCAAAAATAAAACCCCATCCTCCACTGTGGAGGAATTCCGCTGTCTTTGATCTGAGAAAGCATTAACAGGAACAACATTAATAGGAGGAAATTCATTATGATTAACAGTGGAAAAACCGACATCAGTTTCAATAACATCATTATGAATAATCTCAAGGGACTTGTATGAAACAACATCCCCAACGGGCTTGGATGAAACAACATCCCCAACATCAAGAACAACAACCAAATCATCAGAACTATTAACAGTTTCAGCATTAACCCACTTTTCTTGTTCTAAAATATTTTTAGCACCTTCTAAAACAAGAATAGAAGGAATCAGAACCTCAAAGCCTTCAGAAACGCTATCATTGTTAGAGGGACCATAATTATTAAGAGCCAATTTAGAAACAATAGATGAGAAATAATATGAGTGGCATCCTCTTCCCCCTCATTTCCACGAATAACATTCCCCAATTCCAAATTGACAGGACCAGCATTGTCCTCCAGAGGGCAAACTGGCACTTGTAATTCCTTACTAACAACATTTTCATTACCTTTTTGAATACTTTTATCCTTACACAATTTAGGATGTAAACGAAAGCATTCATTTATCGAATGACCATGCATCTTATAGTGAGAACAAAATATAGGTAAATTTTTAATTTCCACCTTTTGAAAGTAACCATTCATTTCAGATCCCAACCATATTTCGTGCGGGTGTTTTTTCGTCACATCCAATTCAACTAAAACTCTAGCCATCGACAGCCTGGAAAGAGAAGCAGTCGCTTGATCTGTCTGTAAAGACCTACCAAACACAGATGCAAGACCAAATAGAATATGTGAATTAAAAAAATGCAAACGAAGGTTCGGGAAAGCTAACCACACCGGGGCAATGGGAGACTCCTCCCTCACATCAAAGTCCAGAGACCACTTAAGAAGCCTCATTTGACAACCTTGAATGTAGTAAGAGTGACGAGAGAAAATACGGCTATAATCTAAATCATTAGACAATTGTATTGCTATATGTTTAAAGTCCAGCAAACCAACATTAAAAGAACCCGATAGTTTCAGACCATAAAAAAATTTACGAATAACATCCAAGTTCGGTCTCCGAAGCATGAATTTACCAACGAGATTGAAAGAAAAGGGAGCAAAAAGTTGATTCACAACAGCATCTTCAAATAACAGAGCATGACATCCTTTAAAGGAAGAATGCACAAAATGAATTTTCGTACCCGACGAAGACGACCCTCCCGAAGCAACAACCTTAAAGGATCTGGTTTTACCAGTAAGAACCGGAAGAATAGCTGGGGTAGACGACGTCGGAGATGTAATCTCCCCCCACCAGAACAAACAGAAAAGCAACCTCAAATCTCCGAAAGAAAAAGACCAAAGCCAAAAAACAGGGCAAGAAAGCAGAGAGAACCACCAAACACAGAGGCCAGAGAAAGAAACGAGGTTACCAGCTCAAAAGGCGACGAAAGAGCAGAAGGGAAGCCGGCGAAGAGCGCTGGCAAGGAACCCTAGAAAAATCGCCTCAGAATCGTCAAGCAGAGAGCGCAGAGGACCTATTTAGATCACAAGTTCTTATTTCTTAAGATTGTTCGGTCGAGTATCCATGTATAAATTAGAATTCAAAAGCTTGCACTCCTTAAAAAAATTATTCATTATAATACTTTTGGTCAAGGACAAATCCATTTCATATATATATAAAAGTGTTTCTTTGCCATTATTTATTTTTATTTCAATATTTATGAATAAGATCTTTTATAACAATCCATCATTAGGCAGCTTTAACATCTTATGGTAAATTTTTATTTTATTGAGTAATTTTGTAAACCAATCATTACCATATAGTATATACAACAAAAATCATTAGAATTGTTTAGTTTATCAAAGTCATCACTCTTGGAAGTAACCTTATCATTACTATTTAATTAAATAACTTTTAACGCCACTTATTGAGAAACTTTCAGTTAAGATATATGACAAAATTATGAATTAATCTTTTCATAGAACATCGCATATTTAGATCCTATTGGTTGACATAAAATTTAAATTTTTTGCCGAATTTCAACATTGACCTTACCCAAAAATTTTCTTAAAATAAAAAATCATGGAAAATAATAAACATATATATATACTTTCATATGTCAACTTTATCATTTGAATCGGTATAAGATGTCACAACAATGATAAAATATGTTGCTTTATTTAATTATAGTCATAATTAAATAACCTCATTAAAGTAATCTTGTCCAAATTTTCATCAACTAATATAATAAAAAAATATATTTGGTTATACAATGCATTGTTGTTCTCTAGTTAAAAGGATAGTCTAAAATTTTCGATGTTTTGTTTGCATATAACTATCTTACATGAGGGAAAACAAGAATTACTTAGCTTTTTATATATTTGAACTAGTCGTGTGAAATATTAAATCAAATCCTAGCTAATGAATCCACTACATATGAATTTTTCCCATGTAAGAATATTAGATAATAAAATCAATATCTAATTAATAGTGTATTCCAAGTATGACAACTCATAATGAATAACTTGATATGCCTTTTAAATTCTCCAAAAATTAATTTAAATTGCTACATGTGTCAATTCATTGTGCAAGAGATTGATACCACATCCATAAGTTGGCTAAAATCGATTAGTTGGCAACTTTGTAGTATTATATATATATATATATAATTGTGCTTGTCTGGGAGAAAAATAACAATGGAAGTCTAGCTCAAAAATAGCAATTGGAAATAAAATTAGAGGCAATAATGCATGTTCTATGATAGTATGAAATTCTTTAATTTAAAAGTATTTTAGACTTGGGGATCAAACGTTGTAGCTAAAGGTTGAATAGAAATTAGCTCAATTTGACCATGTGGACGATTGGTTGACCTCAACATA